TACAAAAAGATTATCCCACAACACAGTCCTACACGTGCAGCCCTCTTCTGGAAAGTTGCTCTCTGATTAGGTTAATCCTTTACTGACTACAGCTTGCTGCTCATGTAGATCACAACCATCTAACAGCAGCTGGTCGAGGTGCTGCATACACAGTTTGGTGTGTGTAGATTGGCTTTAGCATAAAAGATAGGGCATAGGTGTGTGCATTAAAGTTAAGTATTCCCTGTGCTGGAATAAGATAGAACTGTTTCAGGAATTTGATGGAGAAAAGGTGATGCTGAAGATAGTTACAGTCATGGAGGCTCTAGGAAGATTATGGATATTGGCTGGACCTTGAGAATCAGCAGGAGATAAGGGTGAGGGAGTGTGTGTCCAGGCCCACAGTTCACAATCATGGAAAAACAGCCAACCTAGGAGTGGGAGGTTTGCAGAGATGGGTGTGGGGAAGTAGATCCTGAGGTCATTGAGTATTGTCTTGAATATAAAAATGAGGAAGTTGAATGTGGACCTCTGGTCAGAGGGGTATCTCAAAAGGGTTGCGCTTGGGGAGTAAGAGGCTGTCAATGTATCAAATGGAGTTTCAGCTTTAGGGTTCCATACCAGGAGCTGCCACTTACCTTCAACTTTCCACAAGGTCCTCAGAGGTGGTGTCACAGATGCTCAGTGATCACTTACAGTTTGGGTGAATGCTTGTCAGGAGCAACACAGAAAACATAGTGAGCCGTCTTCTCTTCTTTTCTTGACAGCCTTGGATTCACACAGAACCTGGCAGATTTCTTTCAGTGTGGCTGCTTTGGCTTAGTGAAGCCCTGCATAATAGATTGGACATCCCAGTATACCATGGTTTTCCACCCAGCGAAAGAGAAAGTTCTTCGCTCCGTATGAAGAAAAGCACCTCAAAACACACTTTGACTTGTTTTTGTTTATGTTGGTGCTGTGAGGTCTGAAAGTGAAGTGAGATGTTGAGCTCACCACAGTTCAAAACTTTCAAACACAGTCCTCAGCAAGTGCATACCCTCTGTCAGACCTAGAATGAGGGCCTGTTACTGAGCATTCTGGCAGACATCCTTAAAATCTTCCATATTTTCCCCAAGAACTTGAGTTACTTTAAAAAAAAAAACATAATAGTCACTGATTATGGATAAAATAGAGTATTTTCAGATACTGTGTTGACTTTTTAAAAATAGTACTCTTAAAACTTGTAATTTTTGATAAGTTATTTGTCTTTATTGTATCTATAAATATGTAAAGAGTATTTAAATAGATGTACTTGTTTTGTTTTCACACTTAATAAAAACTTTTTTTATACTTGAGACTTATTTCTGATGCTTAACTTGTGTAGAATCTTGAGAAGACAGGTTGACAGACATAAGAAAACTAATTCATGATTTTAAGAATGAGTTGAAATTACTGTTGATGCCAGTAAGCAATGTTTTACTTAATTTTCCTCTTAGAATTTGAATACATGAAGTCTTCAATATTCATCTCAATTTTTACCCAGTGCCATTAAAATATTAGTTGATTGGTGATTGTGCTTACTGATTTCCCTTGTTCTAGAAGAAATGCTGATTCTGCCTAAGTCTTGCTTTGCACAGCTCTACCAGTTACTTTTCTCACTGAATCCTTCCTTGGGTGCTTGTCTTGGGGTAAAAGCTAAATTTCTTGTCATGACCTGTAAACCCCTGAATGGTGCTGTTTTATTATACCAGTGCCACTCTGGCCCACTGTTCAGTTCTTCAAGGATCCTTGCTCCTTCCTCCAAGAAGGACCTAAATGCAAAAGAAGTCTCCAGGGTCGTATGGATGTTTAGTGTGATTACCCTGTAGAGTGCCAATCACCTAGAATATTGCCTAGTACAATGTTCATGCAATAAATATTTGAATTAATGTGTTGAATGAAATAAGGAGTTTTTAACTATGTCATGGTGGACAGGACTTTCCCAAGCTATATTCTCTCCCTTTCTCACCAGCCCCTTCTGTCTTAGTGTTCTATATTGTGAAGCAACACCATGCCCATGGCAACTGCTATGAAGGAAAACATTTAATTGGGGGTGCCTTACAGTTCAGAGGTTTAGTCCATTATTGTCATGGTGTGAAACATTGTGGCATGCAGACAGATATGGTACTGGAGAGGTAGCTCAGAGTTCTACATCTGGATCCACAGGCAGCAGGAAGAGAGAGTGAGCCTTTGGGCCTGGCTTGAGCTTCTGAGGCCTCAAAACCCACCCCCCAGTGACACACTTCCTCCAACAAAGCCACACCTACTCCAACAAGGCCACACCTAATGGTGCCATTCCCTGTGGGCCTATGGGGGCCATTTTCATTCAAACCACACCTACCAATAAGTTTTCCCAGATTGTCCACAGAATGTTTAGATCAGAATGAAGGGGACTAGGTAAGAGGCCGGGACTCAAATTCTCTACGTGAGACCTTCAGCACCACCATATTCCAGATCTTTACAGATGGAAAGTGCATTTCATGTATCTTTAGGTTATTCCACAGTGATTTTTCGAACTATTATAATCATGGAGCTTTGTAAGACAAGGAAAACTAATATAAATGAAATTGTAGTATAAGGTAGCAAACATTAAAAACCATTCAGAATAATGCAAATAAGACATAAGAATTTAGAGGCTAAGGAGAGACTCTGTGGATACTATCAAGGGATTGTTTGTGAATGGTAGTATTTACAAAGGACAGGGTGAACCCCAAAGCAACAGGAAGTAGGATGACTTGGCTGTAGTAAATTTGGTACTTCAAGTGTGCATTAGTCAAGGGAATTAATGTGATAATAACTATCTCCTCAATTGCTTTAAATATTCTCAGTACTAATGTCTAAACACAGCATAAGGCTCATTTCTTCCTTTCATCTAGCTGTCAGCAGGTGTCCTTCCATTCAGAGACCCGCCATTACTGAATGTTTCTTCTCTAATGCTCTTTCTGTGTCTAGGCATATGGAGAGAACATGAAGACTCTTCCAAGAAGAGTCTAGGACATGTAGTGGTCTAGAAAATATAGTGGATTCAGGAGCTCTAGAAACAGAACTCCAGTATCCACCATGAGGTTCTTCGATTTTCTTTTTAAGTTTCTTCATTGCATGTCTTTTCAATTCTACACATTCTGTGTTTTGCCTAGCTACTGTTCTTTTCCACTGCATTCAACAAATGTTTATGAAGTGCCTTTGATTTGTTGAATCTTATAAATGAAAGAGCATCACATTCTAACGAGGATGCAAGAAAATTCAAATTTCAGTGCAAGGAGATTGTATACCTGCTGTGGGAATGCAAAGGTGGGTTCATCTGCTCAGGTACTTGAAGATACTTTTAAAGCATTTGACATGGGCCTGGAGGAGTTGGGTTAACAAATAAAGATGGAGGGGGTTTCCGTTTTCCAGGGATTTAAAGCAGAAAGAAAAGCATCAGCAAAGGCATGATGGGCAGAGAGTATGGGCCTGTTAGGACAGATTTAAATTTGAGTGTAGCTTGAATTGCATGGAGGGTAAGTTGAAGAGCCAAACTGAAGGCAACTTGTGATGCTCATATGATAAACTTACTGGGTGGAATTGCCTCCCCAGAATTGACATGTTAAGTCCCCACAGCTAGTCCCTCGGAATATGACTATATTTGGAGATAAAGCCTTTAAAGAAATAATTGGAATTGGAACAGATCATAGATATAGACCTTGATTCACACTGGTGTCCTCTTTTAAAGGCAGCTTTAGGACAGAGACACACTCAGTGGAAGACCATGTGAAGACAAGAGGTAGCCTGGATAAGCCAAGGAATGAGACTTAAAAGAAGCCAATCATGTTGACCCCTTGATCATGGACTTTCAGCCTCCAACATGGGAGAAATTTTCTATTGGTTGAGCCGCCCAGTCTGTGATACTTTATTACAGCAGCCCTAGTAAACTAATACATAAACCAAATGGGAATGGAGAGATGTGTTCTAGAAGTACCCTCAAGTCAGAAGCAAAGAGGCCTAAGGAGAGGTGCGAGAGCAGGAGGGACAGGGCAAAGCTAATGGGTGACAGTTTGAGCTTCCATCTCCTGGGTGCTTACTTGGGCCTGATACCTGAAACACAAGAAGGAGGAAGCTTCATTGCCCTGCGGTCATGGCACACATGTGTCTGACTCCTGGGCATGCCTGGAGTCTATTTCAAGACAAAATAGTGTATTGCTCTTAAAATCCACATAGGACCTTGTCCAAGGCAGCACATAAGCAGTGCTAAGTGACTGCTTGTTTAAAGACAGCCTTTCTTGGGACTTGAAGCATAGAGAAACCAATGGTTTTGCCTAGTTTTGATAGCTATTATCAAGAGATTTATATTTGTATTCCAAGTAATTAAGGAATGGCAGAGAGGTGGGGGAATGGTGTGGTTGCTTCAAGGAGATAATGGATATTCAAGCCACCTAAGAGGTAGAGGAAGACATGTCTCATTGACTGTTTCATTAGCGAGGCCAGCAAGTTGATGTAAGAGAGGTTTTAAGAAAATTGCTAAACCCCAAGAAATTATAGAGTAAGAGATCATCCTCCTGTCATTTGTAACACAGAACCATATACCAAGCTTTGTTGTTATTTCCCAGTTTCCATAGGTTTGCAAAGCTCATGCTCGGACAAAAGGATCAACCTTTCATTTATTTTATTAGTTTTTATTTTCTTCTTAGAATTGCTTTCATGGTCTCTGTTTTCTCGGACCTCCTGTTTTCTTCCCTACTCTCCCTGATGAGGGAGATGCTCCCATAGAGACACTGGGATACTGTCTCCTGTACCTCTTTTCCTGTCTCTTTTCCTGGCTAATACAGAAATTCATCCTCTGCAGCTAGTTTTTAAAACCAGTTCTCTCTCTTTAAAGCCTTCCCCTCTCTGCAAAGAAGACAGACACAGTACCACTAAAACATTTATTGCCTCTCCCGCCCCAAGAATAGTAAATAATGAAGCATCATTCCCGGTGTTTTCTTCCAAACATCTCTTGTTACTTCGGTGCAGCCTATGACTGCTCCTGAAGAGAACATCTGTCCAGCTACAAAGGAGGCTGTTTGGGCCCCTGCATCTGTGTTGGCAGGCAGGGTTGTGAGAATGCACACGGTTTCACTCTTTCTTTTCCACTTGCTGTGTAAGGCCCCCAAACCCAATGCCTGTGGGGCCAAAATTTTTGGCATAGCAAACTGTGAACCAGAAGATGAGAGGGAATATATTGATTAGCATTGCTATTTTAGGTCCTGCCTAAACATCTTTTTTAGTTGCCAGTAGTAGTCTTTTGGTAAATTTAACTTTTAAAGAAACAAAGCTATACTTAGATTTGCTGATAATCTTTGTTTATACATCTTTGCCCTTCACAGTGTTACCAACACTTGCTTATGTGATTGTCCACAAAGGCAACTCTAATTGCCTGTCCGTCCTCCACCCCTACCCCCACCCCTGCTGCTACCCAGGGCTCCCCCTGCCGTATCCACCAGGCACTCAGAAGTGCTTGCAGTTCCTGCAATGTACTGAACTGTCCTTCCTGTTGCTGTTCCCTGTTCCTGGAATGCCCCCTTCCCAAGCCTGCATCACCCTTCAAGCCCAGAGGACTGTGTCTTCAGAATCACCCCCACTGGTGCTCTCCTCGGCAGATGCTGCCGCACTGTGGGCATTCTCCACTATACTCCACTTTTTTTACTTATGTTTCTCATCCTGTGTCATCATGGGGAAAGTTTTGGCAGTCTATGGTCTTTGGGTCTGTTTGAGACAGTCCTACAACCCATCCTGGCCTTGAATTTGCTGTCTACTTCCTTCTGCCTGTCAGGTGTGGGACTTTTGGTTTGGTTTGGTTTGGTTTTTTGTTGGGTTTGGTTTGTTGTTGTTTCAAGACAGGGTTTCTCTGTGTAGTCCTGGCTGTCCTGGAATTTGTTTTGTAAACCAGGCTGGCCTCAAACTCACAGAGATTCTCCTGCCTCTGCCTCCTGAGTGCTGAGATTAAAGGCGTGTGCCACCACGCCTGAAGGTGTGGGGATTATTACAGGTATGTGCTGCCACACCTGGTACCTAGTCTCAATTACTCTTTAAGCCACCCCCCCAACTCCCTGCTTCTCTCTCCACCATATACACTTGAAGCTTCTTGAATGCCATCACTAGGTGATGATGTTCCTCTGAACTCCAGAATATGTCTTAGAGATGCTGTAGGGTTGAGGACATATTGCCTTTGCTCCCTAGTGCGTCCTTTCTTTTCTTGGCGTCAGGCTGGAGCTGGGCCTCAGCATCTCTACACCCAACCAAGGGATTATGGAAGCGGTTTACTGCAGAGCTGGAAGGATCAGGACAAAAGACAGCTCTGTCCCTGTGCTTGCTAAGTGGCTTGCGACATCAGAAGCAAATGTCAGGAGGGTGGAAAGATTGTGGGAGAGACGGAAGGATACAGATGAGGCCAGGATGATCTTTCACTCAGCCAAATTCCCTATCTGTCTCCCACATGAAGAGAGATGCTTGAGTTTCACTGTTCTTCCTTATCTCCCTTCAAGGTACCTGCAGTCCCGAACCCCCAAGCTGGGGCCAGTGGCTGTACCACTTCCACTGGGCAGTTTTGCTTCCTTCCAAGGGCCCAAACTGCCAAGCTGAGCAGCCTGACTCTTGGCAGACATAGGCAGACCTCTTCCCCTCAGCTTCCCTTCCCCTCAGGCCCTTGGAAAACCAAGTTTCAAGAAAGTCTCTGCAGCCACTTACCTTTGCAATAAAGCTCCCCATCCTTGTCTGTGACATTTGTGGACTCCAGACTCTTCCCACAGATGGCGCAGCGGAAGCAGGTCTTGTGCCAAGGCTGGGAGTCACGAGAGAGAGATTTATCAGGGAGGCAAGCATCGAATTGTAGTTCCACTTCAAGTGCACTGACTAGCAGCACACAAAGCAGTGCTACTGCCCTGGTCTTTCTCTTATGAAAGAAGGGCCTCAACTAATAATGCCAGGGGTTTCTAGAAAACACGATGCAATGGCTTTGACCAGCAATTCTTAGAACACTGCTCATGGATATATAAGGATAATTTGCATGTGTGTTTCTTCAGAATAAACTCAATAGGAAAGAGCTTCCTCAGAGTGACAAGAGCCAGGGGACAAACTGGTCACAGAGACTTGCCCATGAGGCAGTGGTAATGTTTATATTACATATAAAGTCCAAGAAAGTGCAAGGGGAGGAACTAGGCAATTATCTGGGCAACCCACTTGTTTTTCCTCTCTGTAACTATGATGGCAGAGAGGAGTATGGCTTGGCTTCCAGTAGGCCACCCCTCTCCTGCACATCACTGTCTGCCAGGCACGGCCTGAGGTTTCTTGTATGTCTACAAATGGCTGGTCTTCGTGTGGGGACAGCTCTGAGCTTCAAGCCCTTCAAGTCTCTCCTCCCTACACAATTTTTCGTTCCCCAGGTCCAGTTCCCTTGGTGAACACCCTGGCTTTGGGCTTGAAGCAGAATTCTCAGGACAGGGTGCATCTCGGTGCACACTTGATGACTTTCCCCTGAGCCAGGATAAGTACAAGTGTGTGATAGCAGAATCAGGTTGAGTTCCACAGGGGTGATGGGCTGCCACCTCTGGAGGGATGGGATGCAGAAACATGGGAGGAGGAGGAGGAGGAGGAGGAGGAGGAGGAGGAGGAGGAGGAGGAGAGACTTGTGCACCGTCAGATCCCTGAAGCTGAGCTGCGTCCCTTCTCCCCAGTACGTTTTTATTGTGACAAACTCTCTAGTTGTAGTTCTCAGAGGGCACCACATAACAGTCACAGAATTGGAAAAGGGGGGTGGGGAGTGTATGTGGCTTCTAAACAGGCTGTGGGAGCTTAGGAGAATGAACAATCTGGCCCCCACCCACAGTCCCCATGGATTTCATTTCTCCCACGGATCCCGTGGAGATGAGAAGCTGCTATTTGGCTCACCCAGGCGTCCTTACCTTGCCACCTCCCATGACCTTCTCAGCAGCATACACTGACTTCCCACATCGTGGACACTTCTCTGATTCTCCAAACTTTGCAGAGAACTTGGAAGGGTTGCTCGTGGTGGCTGCGCGCGCCGGCTTTGGGGATCTGATAGAAATGTAAGTGGAATGAGACTGGCCTTGGCACACTGTTTGAAGATTGTGTCTCTTCTGATGTACCTCACTCCACTGTGCCTCTAGCTCTTCTTCTACAAATGGGCATAATCATGGGGCCTGTCTCAGCTGTTGAGGTTAAGTATGATGGCTGTATTATAGCTCTGAAGGCAGCACCTGTTAGTGTGGATGGGCTAATGGGTGGTAGTTCTAATGGTTCCCTGTCTTTCCTTTCATGCTTTATGGAGTGTTCCATGCATGTCCATGTGTTGTCATCATTGCTGTCACTGGTTTGCTTTTTGTCTTTAGATTTTTTTTTTGTACTATCGTGAAGCCAGCTGGTTATCTGAGTGGTGAAAATTATAGGATAAGATGATGCATACTTTTCCCAAAGTCACCTGTGCCCTTGAGAGCAGTGTCCAAAACAGAGGCAAAGACTCAGCTCCTTGCATTTTTTAGTCTTTGATAATCCCTCATACGTGGTATCTCTTGAGCCTCACCAGTGTTGAAAGTAGATATGGACATTGGGAAGAGAGGGAGGACCAGCCAGTAATCTCCTGGCTGGTGGAGCTGGGGAGAAATCCAGGTCTCTTAAGGCTTTTTGCTGTTTTCCCAATGTCAGAAAGTAGGCTTTAGATAATGCAAGACAGAACATGCAGTTGCCATCACCTCCTTGTCTTTAACAAAAGGTCACTAGCTAGGATGGAGAGTAATGATAAAAAATAAATGAATAAATAAATAAATAAATAAATAAATAAATAAATAAATAAATAAATAAATAGAAGGCTTCTAGGTCACATGTGAGCACACATCCCTCGCCTTTTCCAGGCTCCCTTCCTAAGGGGCCAGATGACAAACTGCTCTCTGAGGTCCTTACTCAGTTCAGCTAGCTCTTTCTGGCCAATCACCACAGCGCTAAGCCCGGACAGACACCAGCCTGCCAGACAGCAGCGATACACCAGTCACCATCAGACTGTTTTCGATTCTGGCTAGTGGTCAGTGATGGTCAACAGTGAAACCAGGGGAGTGACTTGAGCTGGCAGTGGCCATTGTGTGGGGGACATTAGCACTGTGTGGGTATGGCAGCAAGCAGCTGAGGAGGCCCACAAAACCATCATGACTGGTGTCTCTTCCTGAGGCTCTGCTCCAGACCCTTCTACCTCTTGCACTGCAGGCATTACTCACCTTACAACCTAAGAGAGAGGTCTTCAATGACAGGCACACAGAATGACCATGGCTTTCCTGCTGGGTTTATGTGATTGTCACAGAAGCTCTCAAAGGAGAATAAAGAGACTCCATGCAGTTTGCAAAGGTCAAATAATGGAACATATGTACAGTCTGGGTTTTCTCTTGACATGCAAACCAAGAGCCATCATGTAAAAGTAATTGCCCTTTAGAAAAGCAGGTAATTTAAAGTCTTCAGAGAGACAACACACTGTTAAGACTTGGTCAGAGTTAGTATTCCTATTGTTGGCAAGTCAACAATAGAGTCCATTCTCCCACTTCCAGAAAATGTTGCTATGGGAACGGAATGAACTGTCTTGATAATTGGAGACTAGTAGAGAGGAAAGAAGCATGGCAGTAACTTACTGTTGGAACTGCAGGCCGAGGTGCTCGCCGGTGTCGGTGCTGAGGCAGCCAGCACCCTGTCCAAACCCGATCCCCTTGGGGCCATATCTGCGCCCATAGCAGACCTTACAGTAGATCTCTGACTCGTGAGCTGCCACTGTGGTACTGTCCAGAGCCTTCCTGCAGGCCACTGCAGAGGAGAGCAAGAGTCAAGGAGTTAAAGTTGACCTCCCCACTTCTGTACCCAATGCTGTGTTCAGAGCCCCAGCCCAAGAACACATCTGTGATTCTGGCACATCCAGAGCATCTGTTCTGAGTCACTCCCAAGAGAGTCCTGATCTTGCAGATGAGAAAAGGGGCTCAGAGAAGAGGAGTGGTATGTTTGGTGTAACCAGCTGGAAAAGGGGTTAGATAGAAGTCAGCATTGCAACCGAGTATGTAGTCTTGGACCTGCTAGCAACAGTGTTCCTGACCAACTAATGAAACCTGCTGAACGACATCAGGGAAGTTGTGGGGTTGGGGCAGCTCACTTATATTTTAGTCTTATCGGAGTAGTTTCTGTACCCATCAAGGTCTCCTTTCTTTCTTTCTGTCTTCTTTCTTTCTTTTTTTCTTTCTTGCTTTCTTTCTTTCTTTGTTTTGGTTTTTTGAGTCAGAGTTTCTTCATGTAGCCTTGGCTGTCCTAAAACTAGCTCTGTAGACCTCATAGAGATCCACCTGCCTCTGTCTCCAGAGTGCTGGGATATTGAGACCAGTTCTGGAGTCAAGGATGGGGCAGAAGGGACACAAGTGACTCACTGGTCCCCTTTAGTCTCCCCTTGGCTCAAGCTGCCTTGCCACTATATATTACATACCATGTGTCATTTGTCTCCAAATATAAGGTAACTAAACAAAAGACAAAGATTACAGAAAGAGTTGTTTTTAAAACTTGAAAAGGCTGTGGGGGTGGTGATGGTGGTGGTGGTGGTGGTGGTGGTGGTGGTGGTGGTGGTGGTGGTAGGAATGTAATGGGGGTGGTGATGGTGGTGGTGGTGGTGGTGGTGGTGGTGGTGGTGGTGGTGGTGGTGGTGGTAGGAATGTAACCCAGGGCCTCAGGCATTCCAGCCAAGCTCTTTACTGCTGAATTACATGGGCAATCCTGAGGGTGGGGCTTTTAAAGATGTAAGTGAAAGTGTCAAATCATCATATAATATTTAATAATACACATGAAGAATATATTGGAAATGTTCTTTTTCCTAATCTCACACAAACTTAGAGATCCCATTCTTTCTTGGCATCCAAGCCACTCACTTTGGGAACAGCTGATTGTAGCTAGCTGCCCTGAACAGCTCATGTTCACTTAGATCTGTGTCCGAGCCCTTGACAGTGGCAGCCCTTGTTTGGCTCCTAAGCAGGAGGCTACAATGTGAAAATGATCTCAACAGAGAGAGCTTATTACCTACCATAGCACGAAGGCAGCTGTAAGGTGTAAAGAATTTCCACAACCTGCCGGGCGGTGGTGGCGCACGCCTTTAATCCCAGCACTCGGGAGGCAGAGCCAGGAGGATCTCTGTGAGTTTGAGGCCAGCCTGGGCTACCAAGTGAGTTCCAGGAAAAGGCGCAAAGCTACACAGAGAAACCCTGTCTCGAAAAACCAAAAAAAAAAAAAAAAAAAAAAAAAAAAAAAAAAAAAAAAAAAGAATTTCCACACCTAACAAAACACTGCAGTGCTGTGCAATAATGACCATTAAGTGTTTATAGTAATGATTGTGAAGTGAGATCATAACCTCAGAAATAATAAAACATGTACATTCAATTTATTTGTTTCTTTAAAAAACAAAACAAATCAGTTCCACCAAATGATCTTTATAAGCAACCTAGCATGGATGGGATTATGGCAGGTTAATATGCCATTCTGAAACAGCATTCTGTTGTTGAAAAAAGAATAATTAGGACAGGCATAAAAGAAGAAGATGATAAATGAAGTAGGATGGGACAGAGGATAATGGATGTGGAGCTAGGAAGACAGGCATATGAGAGAGAATTTATTCAAGTATCTAGAGGTTAAAAATTCTTTGCTAAAAAAAAGATTTAAGTCATTGAGATAATGTCCAATAGCATGAGAGACTTTAAAAGGCTTTGAATAAAGAAGTTTTTCTTTGAAGAACGATTTCGGGGAAATGCCTTACACGGGAACATAAAAGGCAGGTACCCACCCCAGTCTGCCCTGTTGCCATCAGTTAGCCATCTCCCCAGCTGCTCACAGAGGACAGAGGCTGATCTACCTTGATATCTCCAGACCATGACAGAGGTCCATGTCTGCAAATGTTGGGTGAGTGACTGACTGGGTGAATTTCCTTGTCATTAGAGATCAGTGACTTTCTGTTCTACATCATTGAATTCCAGAGCTGGAGCTGACCTCTGTTCCTGTGAATTACTTAGTTCTCACTCTCAGCTCTCCATGAAAGCTTATGAAGAGTACCTCACAAGGCCTGGCCAAGTCTGCCCTCCAAAGAGCTTTTTAGAAATATATACTATATTTTATTCAGTGTGTATGTGTGTGTGTTAGCATGTGAGTGGAAGTCAGAGGATAACCTGCAGGAATTATTATTATTTCTCTCCCTCTACCATAGAGGTCCCAGGGACTGAACTCAAGTCATCAGGTTTGGCAACAAACACCTTTACCCACTAAGCTATCCTACTGATCCATGAAAAATTTTTATGCACAGCAGTAGAGAACTGTGTTGTCCAGTACCATGGCAACCATCCATATGTGATGTGCTGATAGGTTCACAAAATCATACTCAATGTCAAACAGTGCAAACACTGAAAGAATATAAAATATCTCATGAGTAATAAGACATGTATATTTGACTTATATATATTGTGTTATATGAGATATTTCAAAATTGATTTTACCTAATCTCATTGGTATACTTGTAAAATGATGACGAACTATGGAATGCTTAAACTTACATATGTGGTTTATATGTATTTCTTCTGAGTAGACTGAAATGGAAGGTTCAGTCAGTTCTGGAGTTTATCTAGAAGTCAGGACAACACTCTGGATAAGTAAGGTAGAGCTGCCTCTTTGAACCTGTTTCCTGCCAGCAGAAGCTTGGATAGAATCTGGGAAGTCTCTTGAGATAATATAGAAAAGTGCACCTCTCCCCGAGGCCCCCATCCACACAGCTGAAGCCCACACTACTACGCTCTCATCCCACCCATGGGCTGGGTCAAATGGGATATGCTACCAAGTGTCCAAACCCTTCTCCTGTGGCTCCACTGAGCATTGCCAGCATCATCCACTGGGAAGTCAAGACAACCCCCTAGTGGGATGATTCCATCCACTCCAATTCCTACACAGCATCAAAGTTAATAAAAGCAGGATAAAGCCTGGAAGGCTGGATTTCCAGGTGTTGGACCACCCCAGTCTTCTCCTATAACAAATTCTTCTTTATCTTATGGATAGAGAGACGAAGCCCGCCATGGTAAAACAACTTCCCACAGTTACACAGTTAGTGAATGAAACAGACTTAAAGCTTACTTCTTGTTTAGCTCCAGTATTCTTTCCAATTCTATTCACTTTAAAGAATACTAGCTATTTTTAGAGAAACACCAAAGACTTGTGGAATGGATACAAAGTTCTAGGTAGTCATAAGTGAACAATGGTGAACATGAGAGATATGTAAGGTGACTTAAAAGACAATTACCCGTCATTAAAATCCAAAGCATCAGTAAGTTTGTCAACATACTCACCCAGAACAATCCTCTTTCCTCTATAAATATGTTTGCCAGGGAGAGGAAGGACCATGGAACTGCAGCTGAGAACATAGTGTGCCACTCTTTCTGGCAGATACAATTGGAGTATGTATCTCTCAGCCCTACCATTTAGAACCTGGGCATTGCAGTTCATTTGGAGCTATGTGGATAGATACCTCACAGTTGCAGGGTGGGGCATAAGGGTGAGAACTGAGCCAGCTAACAGATCCTGCCAGAGCCAGGATAACAGATACGGAACAGAGCAGACCTGTAAGCCATTGTTTTGGCCTAGAAGCAGAGAAGGTGGGTGGCCATCTCAAAGCCATGGCCCATTTCTCCCAGAAAAGGACTGAGTTCTAGGAAACTGCAGAATGTGATGTCAAGGAGCACTGGAGGAGGAGTCTGAAGGTGCAGGATTTAGCTCTCACTCTGTTGCAGGTGCATGCCACCTGGGCCTAGAGATAAACAATAACTTGACCAAAGTCACACGACAGACCCTCGGGTGGGTGACAGTAGCTCAGAGCTCCCTTAGTTTGGGCATTTGTCAATCTGTCTGGCAGCTGATGCTAAAGAGTTCCTTAATGGAGTTCTGATGCCTCAGCCTGACATGTGCTGCCCACTGCCTGACCCAAGTCCTTTCTTAGGGAGGACTAGTCACAGCTGGCTTTAGCGACAGCTGACCAGGGCCACACAAAACACCAAATCTAGTTTGGCTCCAGACAACTGCTAGTTTCCTTCTTCTGCCAAGTCATACTTTGCAAATGTCACAGAGAGCAGGGCCAAGTCTACTTGTCCTGACTTTGAGCCCCGTGAAACCGCCTTTGAGCTGGTGTGTGGCTGGAGAAAGTGCTCAAGGGAGCACTGTGCCCACAGTCAGTATTTCGCACAAATTCTGGGTATGCCGCCCCACTGTGAGAATCACAGACGGTATTGGGATTCTATGAGAACTCAGACCCCCTCCCCAGCCCCTTGTGGTGCCAGTAACCCCCTCCGTGTCCGTCCAACTCACTGCAGTGGAAACAGGTCTTGTGGAAGCTCCTCCCATTGCACTGGATTTCTTCCGCGTGGTAAACCGTCTTTTCACAGGCTCCACATTTTGCGCCTCCGCCCCAGTTTGGCATGGTGAAGACTCTGGCCAAGGTCAATCTAGAAGGATTTAAAGCAAATGCCCTAGGTTTAGATGGTATCGAGGGTAAACTGACCTAGAAATACGTGGTCTGAGGCCCGGGGAAAAGCCTGATTCATTCTATCACTCACTCATTCACTCATTCAGCAAATGGCTGCTTTCTACAAGTAGCTCAGATATTGGAGGCTTTGAGGCATCTGTTTATTGAGTCAGTTCAGTTCCCTCTTCTGTTAAATTTCAGCAACATCTGTCCTTGAGTATTTCACAGGGTTCCTGGAAGGAATAGATGACTAGTTTTATGTACACAAAATTGTATTCTAATACTATTTTTTTTTGTCATCTGAAGTTTGGAACTTATCTCATCAGAAGTGGGATTAGCTTCTGAACGTGACATATTCTTGTCTGTCTACCTTAGATGGCAGTACAGTGAAGGTTCTGGTTTGGTGTGCCTCCGAGCAGGCAGTATTGATGCTGTGAATGGTGGCTTACAGTCTAGGCTTGCCTAGCTGGCAAAAAATATAGGATATGTAAATTCTCTTGTCGAGTGTTGCTTCTCATGTCTGTTGTTGAAGAATGGCATTGCCAGGCACATAGGTCAGCACCATCGTAGCTCAGCCACCTGGGAAGATAGACTGCGCTCTCAGCTGCCCTCAGCACGCTCTCTACCTCACCACCCAACACTTTGCTCTGGGGTGTCACATTGTTGTTTAGGAGACCAGAAGATTCCGTGTGTGGGAAGGAACTTAAGAGCTCGCAGGGCTCAGTGGGAGATGGTACTAACCTGTCCCCTGCACCTTTGAAACATTCTGCCTACAGCCATGCCTGTCCTCTCTCAGTTTTTCACTGGAGGATGATGCTTAAGAGATGCTAATAAAGGGAGTAGTGAGCCATAATTTTCATGGACCTGTAAGTGTGAACCCAAGTTTTTAGTTTGATTAGAGGAAAGCTGAACTAAGCTGTTGATATTCAGTAGACTTCTGAAGCCTACCATCTGCCCAGGGCACTGGATTTTTTCCAGGATCCTTTGGCTTCGTGGAAGTGTCATGGTATCATGGGCACTAAGCGCCATCAGGCCACTCTAAGAGACAGTTCTGGCCTTCCCTCTCATTTCTGGGAAGACAGTTCCTTCTTATAATAGTTGTGATTAGCACTAAGCCCTCTTGGGTCAGCTCTCTGGGTTGTGTCTTACAGTCTCACAACACTGACAGTTTTTGCTAAGAAACAGAAAGTAAACAGAAAACAGACCACTGAACCTGACCCTGGGCTGAAGGGTATGTCCCAATCTGAGCATCTCTGAGATGCCTTTCCCTTTAGAAGTCATCTTAAACACCCCGTGCTTCCTCTAGGTGTCTTCTCTATTTAGAAAAATTTTAGGAAACAACTTCAAAACAAGAAACATTTTGTAGAAGTTTCTACTCACTCTGCCATTCAGTTTATTCGGTGGAGTGGAAAGAGTGAGATGAACGGCAATCAAGTCTGTATTCACTCATTCACTCACTGAGTGCTTACTACCTGCCTGGCTGGTATACTGTACTAGGGCCTAAGTGGTGGGTCCAGGAGGGAACATAGAAGAATAAGTGGGTGGTGTCCCTGGCATTGAGAAGCCCACACTGGGAAAAGCAGACAGGAGCCAGAACACCTTGGACCAGAGTGCTGTGGTAACTCAGAAGAGAGAACAGCACCAATTGCAGATCACAGAAGAGATCACATTCAGACGGTTTTTAAGGGTGACCAGGAGGCCAGCAGATACAGAAAAAAAAGGGAAGGACATTTCAGGCTGCCTTAAGAATTAGCAAAAAGCCACAATATCTTCATATCTCCAAAAAGAGCCTAAGTAGTTCTACTGGACTCCATTGAAATGGTAGACTCTTGAGTTGAAATGAATTTTGAAAATTTTCTGACTTACTCATTTTCAGCCAAGATGGCTACATAGAAAGCAAGCAACTAGGGTAATTTCTTAGCTAACGTCTTTTTCCTGGATCTGTCCTTCAAGTATGAAAGGTAACATATTTTCTAGAAAAGAGCAGAATCACATAATTGTGCTCATGTTTATTCTGATCCCGGGTTTCAACATAATACAAACAGGAGAAATGTAATATGTTTCATCTGAGAACATGACAGTGACCCTTGTGGAATTAATGACATGGAAACCTTCAGTGCAAACAACCTCAGGTCAGATTTCTTATTTCATATTGCCAGTGATTTCATCGGCATGCCCAGCAAGTTTAATGGGAGACTAATATGCCTCCTGGAAAAGTATAAATATTCTTACACATTTGCCTCAGCATACTTTTCAAAATGAAGGTAAAATTGCATATAATACCTCCTCACCAGCTAATGCATCTCAGCAAGCTTGTTTGTAAGTGATCATAACTCTATGCCTTATATACATCAGGATTCAAAACCCAAAATAGAAACACATAAAGATTCACTTAATAGATGTACATTCCATTCCTGAAGACAGGAACACAGCAATGGAAACTATACGAGGAAAATGTCTTTGATTTCCTCTTCCAATGCTCACAGGCCAAAAGATAGAGGGATCACAATATGTCCTGAACCAGAAACACAGGCTCTGGTTGTCATTTATCACTTGAACATGAGAAAAATAAATGTTAGTATCTTCTTGTGCACAGGACCCTTGTGAAGGTCGTGGAAATATGGTGGCAATTTAAAGCAGTACTGAGCTATCCCAAGGCAAATGTGGTTCTTTTCTTTATTACAGGCTAGTCAAGCACCGCCAATGTGCTCGTTAAGTCACTATGATTGAAAGTACATTTAAGTCCTGGCTTACAGATGGCCTTTTTGGCTTCGGCATTGCTTCGGAATAGCTGTATTTCAACACCCAGAGCTGGGATCCAGATGAGCATTTACCTTGGCACAGTGCCAAGAGATGGGCCATTTGTTTATCAGTGTTGCTTGGAACTGGCAAGGGTCATTGAAGGTAGGACACCAAATATAGGCTTGTCTGTCAGTCGGCACTGTTTATCACCTGGGTCACCATCACACCACCTGGCACTGCTTTCTGGAACTATTCTTGAGGTTGCTGTTGTCACAGACAAGTCATAGGTCAGGGTCGAAAGGGAGACAAGAATTTAGAAGGATGAGGTAGAAAGTGAGGCCTACTGTACCAGCTGGGAACAGACTGGACAATTTTGGTTACCCTGATCCCACTGAGAGACGGCCTTGAATGGGCTTCTTAAATAATGGCTTTGTGAAAGAGAATTGCCACTCAATGGGGATTCTCTATAGTGGGTCAGTGGGATCAGATCTGGGCCTACAATCTAGTGCTTTCTAACCTCTTCAAAGCAGTGTGGTCCAGCAAAACCATTAACCTCTTTGACCTTTGGTGTCCTTTCCGGAGTGAGGGCTCTTTGGGAACTCCTCAGAGAATTGCTTCAATTCACAAGCTGTCACACATTCTGTAAACTGTATGGTACTCAGTTATAAAATGTAAGTTTTCATTGAATCTGCCACCACTCTAAACTGTCATGCGTCATCTGAATTTTCTAAAATAAAGCCAAATTGTTCATCGGGCAGTCCTCCGAATTTTCTTCCTCACTCCCTTTCTTCTTCCCTTCCTCCTTTTCCTTCCTTTTTCTTTCTCTTTCTTCTCATCCCCTGCAACTATAAGACTGAAAGATGGCATTTCAGGGCAAAATGAAATAGACAAAACAGTCACTTGGTCAGTGTGTTCCTTCTTAGAGACTCATTTAAAGATCAGGGAGAGATGCTTAAGCCAAGATTTGGAGAGAGACCTCCAGCAGCTCAGCAAACATGTTCAGCTCACTGTTGGCTCACCTGCTACTCCTAAGAGAAGCCTCCACATGGTGAGTTGAACTATCAGCACTGGCTAAGACAGAGTTCTCACAGGAACACTGGACTCCGTGATAATTAGAGTTAGTACTATCTCAGACATTGCCATGAAGTGAAAGATTCTAGAGCACAGCCCTTGGACCAGGCACTGCAGTAACTCATGACCAGTAACCCTCCCAGGCAGTTGCTGTTGAAAGCATCTTTTCAGAGAGGGAAATGTGCACTTAGAGAATTTATATCCCTGTCCTATATCACATGGTTAGATTGGAGCTCCAAAAGCTCTGACTCCAGAGCTATGTTCGCATCCTCATGTTGGCCACTGTTCATGTTTACATCAGTACAGTCCATATATTATCTTTGATACAACAGTCTAACACAGTGAACTGTGTTGTTCCCAAGTTGGGGGTGAGAAAACCATACAGAGAGCTAGATAGCTTGACCAAGACCACACAGCCAGGAAATGGGAGAGCTTCGTCTCAAAGGCTAGTTAACTTGACCTATATGCAAGCTTCTGCTGCAACAGGAGACAGACATGAGCCTGCACTCCCAAGTGCCTCATCTGGTGGGAACTGAGATCTTACAGGTCCATCATCTCTTCATGGGGCACAGGAAGTATTCACAAGAGGAGTCCCAGGGAGTTCAACTTAGTGACGTAAGGGACATCCCCGGGATCTGTGGTGTTCAAACATGGAAAGGGCTCCTCTAGAGTTGGAAGTCTCTCTCACTGTTGATTTTCATCTCCTGTGTGGATGGACATCTTCGTGACTGCAGGGCAGCGAAGCATCTTGTAGAGTTCTTCAAGCCCTGAGACCAATTTAAGGACCTGAACTGCGAACGATCGAAGCCTCTCTGCAGAAACGCTGCTCAGGAGTGTCCCCTGGCAAGTGCCTCTCCTCTCGTAATTCAGCAAGGAAGGCATCAAAGTGTGAAAAGGCACGGGCTTTGGAAAGAACCAAAGCCACGTTCAGATCACTAACAGTCTGAGCTTGGGCACATGGCTCAGATTCCTGAGCACAGCCCTATACATGTCAAAAGGAGCAGGTTTGTCCCAGAAGGCTAAAGGCAATAACAGTGCACTCCATATTCATTCTTGGTGCACACAGGGATCTGATGATTTTTGTTGTCCTTATATTATTATGATAGTTGATTGGTGGGATTTGCTCTATAGATGTTTTTAAATCTATTTTTGCAAAACAAGCAAAACTTTCTGTTTTTTCTCTCCATGGATCATCATTTCAGACCGCAAGTAAACTGTGTTTCTCAGTCTTCTGAATCTCAA